TTTTGTGAAATATTCCTCGACGCACCCTCCGATTCATTGGGGCTGAAGGACGGTTCTTGGAGGATTTCTTCACATTAACATCACTCATTTGCGGATCACGTAAATCCGCCCTTTCAAACGAAATGAAGGATTCAGCAGAACAAAGTATCTTTGCCAATCCAGCCTGACTGCTATGACACGCATGCATCCGTAATTCTCACCAAACTCCTCCATACTTCTGATTTTCATGTGTCCAATGCAACGCAAAAATATATACCAGTAAAAGTGGTTTTTATGAGAAGTGACGAGAATCAGATGGGCTAAGGAGTGATACTGTATGATTTTCTTGCCCTAAGTGAAGAAGACGAATACTCTGATTTCCTGACCATGCCATTTCTCCAATATTTTGGCAATTAATTAAAAATTTCGGAGTCCAAATACATCGCCTTATTCATCTGTATACCTTTCATTTTATTCACTTCCTATCCCTCCATCTCGTCTCAGGCTTGCAAGCACCAGACTGCAGTAAAACTGGTTGTCGTGGACTGCCCACCCGTCACGGAGGTGCTTATCCGGAGGCCCGACATCAAGTTCCAGCTCGGCTTCAGCGTGCAGAATGGTGTTGTCTGCAGCCTACTTCGTGGTGGCATTGCCGAGCGCGGTGGCATCCGCGTGGACCACCGGATCATCGAGATTAACGGTGAAAGTGTTGTAGCCGTGTCACACGACAAGATTGTCAACACGCTGGCCACGGCCGTCGGGGAAGTGAGCATATTTTATTTGAGAATTTACGTTTGGCGCTTTTCATAGTATGCCAGCTTTACGGTGCCTTTTATATGCCATCAGGATTGCTTTTGGACCCCTGGTTTCTATTGCTTCCTCGGATCCACTATTGACAGTCGGATCTTTCGCGGAGCCGGAAATCTCAATGACGGCATGACACAACATTGAAAATCGTCCACTAAAACTCAATAAAAACCACGGAACTGCCTTAGCTGCTTGCATCTAGTAAACTTGGAAAAACTTATCTAATGGCGAATATATTATAGTACATTTCAATAGAACATGATTGTCTACCTTGATGCGTATTAGTCTTCTGTTATCATCGGTTTATTTTGCATAGAAATACAGAGAAGTGAACCGGAAATTTGAGTTACTATAAAGAATACTTAATAGTAATGAACAATTTCGATTTTGAGACCGAATGGGTTCTCTGAACGGCTTTTAGTCTGCCTTTTGACATGCACATTCTCCAACACTATAAAACGACTCAGATACTTGAAAAAAGCAACTTATTTAAGAGCTACTTCTGGTCTCGAAACCTACCCATTATGAAAATAAAATCAAGTTATATGAAGAAAAACTGGGTTTCGAGGAATTCCTTAATGAAATATTGTGGCTTAACTCTCAATTTCGAAGCGAAAGTTGGTTGGAAGGAATTCGTGAAGTGGTCTCACTGGAAACCGAAGGAGGATTGTCGCGTAAAGAAGACTGTTGAATTGTGTGAAGAAGTCCTCGGCTCACTGTCCTGTGACCTCGATGAAACTGTGATAAGCTTTAGCCTGTACTGTGACAGATATCATCAGAGCATGATTCCATACTTTATTTAAACAGCACATGTCTTACTCGCTGAAGACTATCAAACATTTATTTTTACTTGTTAATCTGTTGGGGCTTCAAAATGAAAGCACTCTAAGATAATCATCTTTTAGTGGTCGGCAACTTGTTTGCTTTCAATATACGCTACTTTCGTACGGCGTTAGACGAACCGATGCCCACGGTGGGTTGGAGAGAATGTCTGCTTACCACAGCAAAGTTCGTTGAACCTTGCGGCTCAGGGCTGCACTGCTCTTGCCGACTCATCTCATCATTTCATATGCACCTTCTGTGAGATTAGAACCGTGATTGTGCATGCTTAAAAGCAAGCAACACGACCCTAGTCACACCGTATTGAGCAACAAACATAACTTTAAAGGCAAACCTCACCGCTTTTAACTCACATCTCTATTGAGCACTTTCATATTGTCAGGCAGTCGTGTGTTTGCTTTTAGAATTTACATACTGCCGTTACATAGGATTATTAATAACTTTTGTTTTAAACCTATTGCGAGGTGGAAACGCTATTCAGTCCTATGGGAAAATGATCTTTTGGCACACATATATAATTGAATTTCAATGCAAAAATCGAACATTCTCTTCCATTACTCGCGAGCAGATTCTTTATCAATCCAACTGTAAAACAGTAGGAAATTATAAGCCTCAACCATAGCCAGCTTCAAAGCAAAAGCTGTCACTAATTATTTAAATATGTTACCTATTCTTTCCCTTGATTCCATTTTTGCAGATTCACCTTCGAACGATGCCTACCTCAATCTTCCGCCTTCTGACTGGTCAGGACACTCCGCACTACATTTAGCCGACCTCCGAGATCGACTTGCTTCACTTCCTGGAGTCCTTCTGGGCCCTCTGATTCACGCCCCTAAGTCATTCGCCGTACATATTTTACGTCTAGTTCTGTGGATTCTTTTATCACTTTGATCACTCTGTTTATCACTTCCTCCAACCTGCTCCCATTCTGCTTGTTTGGCCCCTTTGCCTCTATAACTGAGCTTTAAGAGCCTCTCCAGTGGCTCTCAATGTCAGCGACCACACGACCAGTGCAGCTCCTTGATTTCTTCTCCAACGAAATTCCGCAGAACCACCGTCCCTTTCCGATTGCATGGATTCTAATGAAATGTTACTCTCATTTCCAATTTGAGCTCATTTTCATCGCTATGTCCTCATTTATCCATAACTCTTATTATTCTCACAGGCGAACAACTTTACATGTCCTAGGATGTGCCGTTATGCTGCTTCATCTGCTTTTTTATTTTCTGAAAAATATCTAGTCTATGCTTGCTTGTTTTTCAGTTTGCCTAACGCAGTATGGACTCATTTTCGAGCAATGAGACCCACGACCTATTAAAATATCCTGCGTGCCAGGACTCCGCCTATCTAACTCCTAACCAACCCTCTCTGAGCCTTATTCGTCTTCCGCCTTCTATTAACGTCCAGCCGACTTGACTATTACCCTGAGTCATCTTGTTGTGCTATTTGCCTTTTTCACTGTCCTGCTGAGGGCAAATAGACCCCTCCAATCCATCGGACGCAAGCATCTCGCACTAGATACGCACCCTGAGGCTGCAAGAACTTGATTTTCTAGGTTATATCAGTCTGTTTCTTTCCCCTCTTCTCTATACGTTCATTATTAGTGTACATATTTATTTATTTATTTATTTATTTATTTATTTATTTCTATCTACTCTACGTTCAGCGGTTGAGGCCGAAATCACATTATTGGCTCTTTTCAAACTTGAGGTCAGATTGCCCAACTTGTGCTGTCTCCACAACAGTGCCTGCCAGACTATCAGCGGCTTCCGTGGTATTTATTCTATGATCCTAAAAGCTAAATCCACCACAACCCACCATGACAGATCACAAAATCCCCGATCCAATCAAAATGTCATCTGATCAGTCAGTCTGACCAGCACAGACGATATAACACAATTGCGCAGATCGTCTGGTAGTCTTGCAAGCCCCGGGGTCGGTGCAACTTTTGTCCACGCGCATTCACACCAGCGTTCCCAACTAAAATTGGATGCAGGTTTCTATGCTGGAGTCCAGCCTCTATCATCTTGATTTAGTCACTATGCTAAATGGCTGAATAAGGGAGGCAAATTATGAAATTACCGATAAGTATCCTTCATAAATAAAATATTAGCTCAACACACATCGCCGTGGTTGCCAGTGCGTCAAAGGGCGGTGTGACTTTCAAGGCAAGTCAGGCCTCTGCAAAAGGATATTTGTGTTGGTATATTGATGAAGCAGGCATGTATTTGTTATTACGATATACGAAGTTTCTTGTCTTGGGCATGAGTATGTTTTGAAACTGCCATTATTTATTGATTAATAACTTAGTCACCTTATTCTGCTTAAGATCATTTAAGCACAATTTAGAAGTAGGCCTCACAGTGTCATTCAATTTCATCTCGTTTTGCTCCCAAAAAGTCTTTTTCACTTGGTCTGAACTACATTTTTGATCTCGCCTCATCATCTAGCATCGGCGCGCTTAATGGGATTTGAAACCGAGACACGTGCCTGAGGGCCTGTCATTACCGCTACGCTACACGACAAATGTGTAGATATGACTTTCAAGACAAGCCAGGCTTTTCCCAAATAACATTTACAGTAGCATTTTCGAGCAGGCAAACATATATTTGCCTCATAAATCAACGACGCAAATAACTCTTATATTAGAGTTACTGACATCTTCGGAGTATACTCGTACAGAGTATATATATCCTCTACTCTTATTTTCTTTTTATAAGTAGTTTCTCGAAGGCCTACTTATAAAATAAAAACAAGTAATGCAGTCGATTGATATAGCAAATAGAGCCCTGCCTCATCGATACTCCCACCACAGAGGGTATGAGAAAGGCTTGACCTTCTTTGAAATTCACGTCTTCCATGTGACCCAGCAATTCCCGTGGCAGTTCGTCGTGGTGGTGATGTGTCGAGATAATACGTTGCAATGCCCAGGTTCGAGTACTGCTGGGGGCGCTCATGAGACCCAGGCAAGTTCGAAATTGTAGTCCACCTCGGCCGGGATGAGATTACCGTTTGGGAAGCAAGAATATGTGAAATTCAAAGGAAACATGAGGCCTACTCATATGATGGCGGGAAAATCCAGCTTCCAGTCCTTCTTCACCTTGAACAAAATAGCCACATATATGTGGGCTGCTCTTATATTCACCTGAGATGATGCAATTCGGTCTTTCAATCTGTTCTTTTGTAATTTAAGTGGATATGCATGAATCCGCTCAAAACTGATTTGCGCGTGTCTCCGTGGTTGCCACTTTGAACTTATGTAAACTCAGTCTGGCTGGATTTCTAGCACATTAATCTGCTATACAAACAGTTAAATGAGATGTATTCACTCAATTTCGTTTAAGGTGATAAAGGACTGGTAGTAGAATTTTCCCACAATGTTATGAGTAGATACGCGATGTCTTCGTGAAAAAGCCAGCCACATCAAAGCTCACTTTTCGAAGACCCTTGTTTAATGCAACCTGAAAATAATATTCATATAATAGGTCTTAACAATTTCTTTTGAAGACAAACTGGGTTTTGAAGACTGTCTTGCTAGATTGAAGCTGGCATAAGTTTCATTTCATTTGAGATTGCGGGTGGAACGATGGTTGCCTTAGACTTTTGTCAGTTAGATCGTGCGAAAAAGACATCAGCTCACCCTCCTGCGACCACGGTCCATTCGTGCTGAGCCTTCATCCGTCATGCAATGGACATCGCCAGCGTCAGAAACTATCAGTCACGAACAATCACCAAAAACACTATACTAAGAAAAGTTGGGTTTCGGGGATTGATAATAAATAATGGTTTTCGGCTTTGACGATTTATGTCACATGGCAGATGAAGGCTCAACACGGAGCCATTGAGTTTGCAAGACCGTAAGCCGAAGTTTTATTCTCCCAATCCAGCAGTCACAAGTCCATAAA